AGCCAAGATATTTTTGGTAAGGTTTGAAAAACTCCTGTGTAGCCACAACATCATTTCCGTAGCTAAGTGGGACTTCGCTTCAGGAAGGGATCTTTTTTCTAGGAATCCTCCTATTTAAACCAGTGCTACCAGAATCTAGTTTCTCAGAAAAGTCTCATCTAGCAGGGACTGTAGCCATGTGTGATAACCTCATTACACACAATCAATTTTCTACACCATACTACATTAATTTAAGAAAATATCAGATTTTAACGAAAAATTCCGGCCAACGTTAACATCGTCTGTGCAAACAGTTCACATTGCCATGTTTAATCCTATTTTATCAAACGATTTTTGGCATTTGAAAAAAAAAAAAAAAAAAAGAGACTTGCTTTAGAATACTGTGTTGCAAAATTAACTTGACATAGAAGTTCAATTGCTCAGTGCGGCATGAGCTGACTAAAGATAAGGACAGATCTGTTAGGGCCTGCTCTAATCTACTTGAATATCAATGCAAGGATAAAATTCTGGACCGAATTATCAGTGATGAAAAGTGGAGGTTGATCTTTACATTATGGTAACTTGGCGATTTTTTGGCGAAAATTTCGCGACCAACTTCCCTACAGCAACTTTCTATTTTTTTTTTCCTGCGGCCATTTTGTCTTCACGAAGTAAAGACAGGTTTTTCTTTTATCTACTGAACACTTCTTCCAACAATCTACTAGCCAAATTGCACTTATGCTAGAAATTTATCTAACAAACTGCTTAATCATGACAATATTCACTGCAAATTGGGAAAAAAGGCACAATACCATACTCCTTAAGCGTTTTTCAAAAATAACACATACACATAAACCATGTCACGTCGACTATTTTACTTTAAAAAACATCCCAGAATTACACAAAAATGGCATTGCGCACACTCTTCATATATCCATGTACACTGCTTTTTCTCATAAATTAGAAAAATTTCACGAAAAATACATGACAATTTTTGAATCTTTAAACCCGGGTAAAAAGAACATATATGAAATACCTGATCGCGAAAAAAATTATATACCCTTTCCAAAATGAACATTTCACATATAAAATAAATAAAATATCCCAAAACTGTTTACCTCTAAATCATCTATTATATATATAAACGTCACCAATGAATTCATACCGCAAGCTTAAAATACTTAGTGTCAAATATTTAAATTATTTACTGGCACGTTTACTTCAACTAAAACGTATACCAAATTCCTACAAACATAAAATTCACAAAATAACTATCATTTAATTAAAATATCACTAAACCCTGTAAACGTCAACTTATTTTTACTTAAAAAAATCCCAGAATTCCACAAAAATGGCATTGCGCACACTCTTCACCATATCCATGTACATCCTTTCTTCTCAAAATTAGAAAATTTCACGAAAATGCATGACAATTTTCTGAATCTTTAAACCCGGTAAAAAGAACATATATGAATACTGATGCGAAAAGTATTACCCTTCCCAAATATGAACATTCCAAGTATAAAAAAAGTAAAATATCCAAAACTTTACCTCTAAATTATCTATTATATTATAAACGTCACCAACGAATTCATACCGCAAACATTACAAATACTTAGTGTCAAATATTTAAATTATTTCCATGCATGTTTACTTCAACTAAAACGTATACCAAATTCGGTACTTTTCCGTTTCACCGGCGCAAAATCTCGCCAAGCAGACTTTATTGCGACAACATACAGTATACACATAAAAAATATTAAAAAATTTTAGTTCTAAGAATTTTTTTTTGAAGGCATAAACATTTTAATATCGCTTTTAAAACTTATAAAAAGACAATAAATATAAAGAAATAAATTTTAAAAGACATTAAATTTAAGAATTACTATGCTTTCATGGTTTAACATCTAAGTCTCCGGTTCATATCATGGACCCCAAACAATCTCATTCTCACGTAAACTACTCTACAAAAATCTAATTCTATCAGTAATTATCTACATTAATTCAAGTTAAATCTTAATTTGGAACACAAGTTTAAATGCAAGAAAATTTCATGCGTACGAATGCTTACTCATAATATGTAAAAACTGCAGTGCTTTATTCACTAATGCATTCTCATAGAATGATAAATTTAACCCTTGACTTTCCTTTCTATATTTCGGCTCTTGGTAAGAGCTGGATTCCTAACTGACTTAATTACGGAAAATGGCCTTAGACACCAAAACTGATATATCTGATAAAAAATTCTATGTAACTATATGCCAGTATTGAAAGAAACAATCAATCTGATAAGAAAAAGCTGCGACTTGTTTTGAAAATGAGGCGTAAAAGGTTACCAGCGAGAATATTCGTTTGGCATCCGTTGTACCATTATTGGCGACTTTATCGCTTGCGCCGGCAAAACGGAAAAGTATCCAAATTCCTACAAACATAAAATTCACAAAATAACTATCATTTAATTAAAATATCACTAAACCATGTACACGTCGACTTATTTTTACTTAAAAAAATCCCAGAATTGCACAAAAATGGCATTGTGCACACTCTTCACTGTATCCATGTACACTGCTTTTTTGTCATAAATTAGAAAAATTTCACGAAAATGCATGACAATTTTCTGAATCCTTAAACCCGTTAAAAAGAACATATATGAAATTACCTAATAACGAAAAAGTATATACCCTTTCCAAATATGAACATTTCCAAGTATAAAATAAATAAAAATATCCAAAAACTTTTACCTCTAAATTATCTATTATATTATAAACGTCCCCAACGAATTCATACCGCAACATTACAAATACTTAGTGTCAAATATTTAAATGATTCCATGCACGTTTACTTCAACTAAAACGTATACCAAATTCCTACAAACATAAAATTCACAAAATAACTATCATTTAAATAAAATATAATTAAATTCAAAAACACTACTTAAAATATAAATAAGCACATACATTAATAAAAATTAGCTTACAATCCTAATTACTTTAAACTAAATCATTGCTAATAACAAGTTTCGGTTAATCTTTGGATTATGGTAACTTGGCGATTTTTTGGCGACCAACCCTACTACAGCAACCTGCTAGTTTTGTTTTGGACACCATTTTGTTTTCACGAAGTAAAGGCATGTTTTTTTTTTCCTCAACATTTTTTTCCCCAACAATCTGCTAGCCGAATTACACTTATGCTAGAACTTTTATGGAACAAAAGTGCTTAATCATGATGAAGATTAGATGCGAAATTGGGAGAAAGTGCAGAATTGCAAACTGCTTGCCGTGTTTTTAAGAATTGCAGATACACGGTATCCATGTTCATGTCGACCTATTCTCACTTAAAAAAACATCCCAGAATTGCACAAAAATGGCATTGCACACACTCTTAACTATATCCATCTACACTGCTATTTTCTCATAAATTACAAAAATTTGCATGAAAATGCAGGAAAATTTTCTTAATCTTTAAACTCTAAAAAGCACATATATGAAATTACCTGATCGCGAAAAAGTAGAATACCCTTTCCAAGGATGAACATTTCCACGTATAAAATAAATAAAATATCCAAAAGCTTTTACCTCTAAATTATCTATTATATTATAAACGTAACAAACGAATTTATACGCAAACATTAAAAATAGTTACAAATACTTAGCGTCAAATATTTAAATTATTTCCGTACATGTTTACTTCAACTGAAACGTATACCAAATTCCTACAAACATAAAATTCACAAAATAACTATCATTTAATTAAAATATCACTAAACCATGTACACGTCGACTTATTTTTCCTTAAAAAAATCCCAGAATTGCACAAAAACGGCATTGTGCACACTCTTCACTGTATCCATGTACACAGCTTTTTTGTCATAAATTAGAAAAATTTCACGAAAATGCATGAAAATTTTGTGAATCTTAAATCCGGTAAAAAGAACATATATGAAATTACCTGATCGCGAAAAAGTATATACCCTTTCCAAGAACCAACATTTCCAAGAATAAAATAAATAAAATATCCAAAAACTTTTACCTCTAAATTATCTATTATATTATAAACGTCGGCAACGAATTTATACGCAAACATTAAAAATAGTTTCCTACTTTTGGATTCTTCCTGGTTTTTTTCCGTCTTCCTTATGCATTTCCTTCTACTAAATATGTTTTGTGAAAAATTAGCAAACACCAATATACATTTAAAAAATATCACATCACCGCTAAGAACATTCTTTGTGCAATCATTAAAGAAAATCACGAGCTTTAAACTAAACTAAATTTCACAAAACAGCATATTTGATAGTAAAAATTTTATGATGAAAGATACATCACACATTTTTAACCAAGAATTACAACCCCAGTAATATTTATCTATTTTCTGATTTAACAAAAATATTTCTCTTGTATTCAGTAAAGAATGATCAAAGAATGCAATTTCTTTATATTAGTAATAATATATACTTATATCTAAACAGAAAGCTTCAATAAACTCTGGGAACTAAAAACTGTGCATTAAGTTGTAATGCAACCTATTCATAGGACAATAAGCAACATATGGATTTATACATTTTTAAAAACCAAATGACAGCATAGTAACATTCACAATAAATTCATATTGCATTATGTTTACTACTAAATATGATACAAATTTCACTATTGTCGCAATTTGCAAAAACAAAAAACGGTCTTCTCTTCCAATGCAACACTCATTAAGAAATAATCTGTATTTTTTGCATACACTCATTTCATTATTTTCTGATGGAAGAATATGTGTGTTAAAATTTTCATATCAAACAGAAAACTGCACCGACACGTCATTTAAATGTCCCATCTATCTATACACACACATACTATGTGTACAATATTACATATATTCATGTCAGATCGGGAAAGCAAGGCAATGTACTCTCGCAGATTTAAGCACACATTTTTTAAAACTGTGCATACATTATATCTCTTTGATTAATTTCTTTTTTAATATTACTACCTTCCAACGTACTAAAAAAAATGAAATTCTTATCTACTTACGCCTTTTCAAACAATCCCTCTAAACGACTACTGACCTCAGTACCTTCCCTATAACGTGTAATGCCAATTCTACCTGTATGTCTAGGAGCATGGAAACTACAAGCTTTCGTTGGTGGAAAAGTATATGACGTCATCCAGAAAAAGCGCAAATCACTTTCACCTTAAACCCGTATTCACCAACTTTTTTAACTCATGAGTTTCCTTCTTGATCAGTGCGTCATAACGAAATCGGTATGAGATACATTCCCCAAGAAGAGGAAAATATGGTCACATGAATAATGAACAATAATCTCTGCATGTGGTGTGTTTACGATGGAGTATACAGCAGATGTGCCACTAAAATTAAAATTAATTGCCTTACAACTTTTGAGAAAAATTAGAAAGTACCCTTGGAAGTAATCTCTCTTTCCTTGTTGTTAAAAAAAATGTCTTCTCTTGTTCAAGGGAAAACGTGTCATCAATATTTGTTTTAAAGTAATGTAGTATAGCAAGATAATTATAACAAGATTTTTTAAATGAAAAAAAAAATTAATACGAAACATCTGTACGAATTTCTGCAGAAAATATGGTAAGATTTATAAATTTTTCTCACGCGCGATGCTTACCCATTCATGTTTTACTTTATTAGGAATATTAAGCTTATGACAATTAGCTGAAAAATATTTCAGAGACCTTGAATAACGTTTTCCAAACTTTAAAATGTAAGTATAATAATATAAATAAATATTCATAACTCTTACATAGTTGTTCTAAATTATTGAAATATTAGAATTTCTAGGAGGAAAGGTAAAACCCCACACCAAAGGGTAAAACCCCACACCATACCAAGCCAATTTTCTCTTATCAGTACTAATCACAGTGCCATAGAACATGTTACGCCACTGAATTTTTATTAATTTCATTACGGTGTGTTAACTAATTTAGCTGTTATAGTCAAGTTTTAAATCTATACACATAAACTTCGGAAAGTTAATTTTTTTTAATACCTTCCATTGTAGGTATTAGACTCAAGCCATATGAATGTAAGAAAGAAGAATGTATTGTTTCCAAATTCCTTGTCAAATACAGTCAATTTTAATGAACTTATTTCGCCTGCATATACTAAGAGCTACAATATCACAAGCTGAACCAATATTTTAATATAAAAGGATGCTTTTTTAAGAATTTATACTTAATTCTAAATTTTTATGGAAGATTGCTGAGCTTTTTACTTTAAATGCTAAATTAGGATGTATATTTATTCCCTGAAATTCAGTAGCTTTGTTAGTCCCTAGGTTCATAGGTGCATTAGGTAAAAGCACTAGACGTGAACTGATCTGTTTCGTATGATAGATCTTTTCAATAAACACACCTGAAATCTTTTTGAGCTATCTAATTTTACATTAAAATATTCTATAGATAAATTAGGTAACTTAGAAAATAATTTAAAATGTATACTTTGAATGTATAAAGTGTACATTAAAAAAATTATTAATTTCCCTTCACATTAATTTGATAACATATTTATACGTCATACGACGTAGTTGTGTTGTATTTTATATGTGTTGGGTACGTGCTCAGTGATGATTACAAGATGTACACAAACATCGTTTATAACAGACAGACAGACAAAGTAGACAGATGTCTTGTTTTGCACCCGCTAAGTCTTTCTGCACCGATGGGCGAAAAATCAAGCATAGGTGCGAAGAAAAGGTTTATAGAAAGGGGGGCAATTTCGTATTTGAGGAGAGTAAAAAGGAACTTCGTACATTTTTTACGAGTTCAAAAGGCCAGAAAGAAAAGATGGGACAAAATAAAATTTAAAATAAATGGCCCAAAAATAATACAGGGGAAAAAAAAGGGCCTAAAGAAAGAAAAGGAAAAGAAGTAGAAAATATCCTAAAATACGATTGTGTCCGTGAGTGTAGTTAAGGAGTTCATCTGCAAAAATTAGTGTCTTTAAGGGGGATTGTTGACAAATGTCTTCCTATTCTTTTAACATTAGCAAATTTAGAAACACAGTATCACATGAAAAAAGCTCAGTGAAGTAATGAAAAAGTCTGCTGTTACATAGAATACATCTTCAAAATTCTGCTACAGTAAAAAAAAGGGCATGCTTTTTCCTATTATTAATAAATATTTGCCGAATATCACTTTTGTTTTTTTAACGTGTTTTTCGATTAGTATCAATATTGAAAAATAGAGGGCACCACTCTATCCATACGGACTGATGTCAATTCTATTTTGGGGAACATTGATTTTTTCGCATTAAAATTAATTTTTAGCAGGGAACGAAGTAGTAGTTAACCAACATTCATTCATTCATTAAAATGTCATTCTTGCGCAGAAAAATATGCATGACATCAATTTTGTCTAAAACTTAGCAAACCTAAAACGTAATTGCGTCTTTCGCCAAGCAGAAAACTTGGCGAACTTTTCACGCCATTGTTGTCGATCGTCTCCAGTTTTGCGTCTGCAGAGCTGAACAGGTTTCACTAATGTACCCTCTATTTTTGCCCTCTCCCCCAAAGCAATTAGGACGAAACATGAATGCTTTCAAATAGCATTGCAGAATCAGTGGAAATGTTTAATTCCTAGGGTCCTTCAGCTAACGAGTCTCTCATTGAACGAAAAATTTCTCAAGCGCATGTTTGTCTGCTAAATATAATTCAAATAATAAATTATTACTAATACCATTAATAAATAATATTCATCTCAGGTATGAGAGAACGTCGAAAAATCATTCGATATTTTTTTATGAAGCGTTAGATTACCTTTAAAACTCAGTTACAAGTTGAAATCATTCTACATAAAACTTGAATGCTAAACTGATATTTATTTTCGGGTAATTTATAGAACTTAATCATAGAAACTGGAGGCCTTCAAATATACGGTATATTTTCCGAATATCTCATCATATATTAGGTCAGCACTCACACTGAATACGTTGAAATTAAGCATAACTGAAACGCTTTTAAATAGTCTCCATATTAGGGATGTGTGATATACGTTAAATTTTGCCTCTTCAATAAGTCTTATAATATGGCACTTCTTGTTGAATATTCAGTATTATTTCGTGCATCACATAGTACAAGTTATCTCATTGCGGAAAGGATGGAATAATTTGATGGAAATTTAAAAGGATAGAAAATTAATGGAAATTTCTAAGAATAATCGCAAAATTCTGCGAATATTTCGCAGAATGATGAATTTCACTTACACTTCAAAGAAAAACTTGTCAGATAATGCGCATATGTTAAATTTTTTTCAAACAGCCAAGCTTTGTCCGTATAACAGAACCGTTATAAGCGATCAAGATCTTGATTAAGCTGATAGCACAATTTAATAAGTTTACGTCACATCAAAGTTACGTCAAATTTTTATTGATATCTGTTATCATGGTTGATTTGGTTATTTATTTAATTATAGAAAGCACACAAGAGCTATTGCGTAAATGGAAAGATGTCTTCCTTGAGAACCGCTACGAACGGCCCAAGCGGCGGTAAAGTCACTGAACACTGGTAGCTCGGTCCGAGGTTCGAATCCACGAACAAAGCGGCGCACGAGCGTTTTCATGGGGTTTCCCAAGTGTAACTTGTACACGAGCCAGTTTCCCTTTGAAAGTCCTCCACGAAGGCATCGTTCCCTTAGCAGATAAACTCGAAGCTTGACGTAAATTTCGTAAACCAAACCAACCTTAGTTAAGACTTTTTAAGTGAACTGGCTTGTACCATGCTAGATCAACGAAATAAATCCATTCAATCAGCCCGTTCGTTGCTATTCGAGCCCTTCGAACTACCAGTGTTCAATGGTAGCAGCTCCTCACGGTACCGCTCGGTCGTCGGTGAGCTAGTTTGCTGTTATGTAACGTGGTTAAATTCGAAAATGGATTGTTCAAAAGTCAGCAAATATTAAAAGCCTTTCGAAATTTCATAGAATCTACAGAAAATTCGTGATTTTTTTTAATGGTGTAAGTTTTTAAAAATCCTTAAATTTTGCAGAAATTCCTGCTGTAATAAAGTAGGTCTGTGGAAGAATTCA